CTGGATTTCACTCTCCTTTCCAAGCCTCCTCTCTGCCCACACTCGTGGGGTTTAATCCCCACACTCCCCAGAGGGAGAGGGTCACTGGCATCAGCATGTTTGACAGGTTTCCAATGTGATCAAGAACTGCAGAATAAGCCCATTATAAGCACTGTAGATATTAAAAAAAACCACCTAAAAACACACACTGAAGAATACACACGGCCTACTTTGATTTTTTTTATTTTTTTTCCTCCTGATGTACAATTCCAGCTCAGGCAGCCTTTATTTTTAGAAGTACTCCCTGAGAGAGGCCATAGCCGAGCTGCACCGCACGCAGGGAGCAGAGGAGCTCTGCCCTGCTTTGAAGGCTGCCAGAGAGGTTCTGGAGGCAGCTGCTCCTCCTCAGACACTGCCCTGCTCCCCAGATGTGCAGTGCCACCTTCTCCCTCCTGCCTCCCTCCCTCCCTCCCGCCTGTCACACCATCCCAAGAGCAAATCCAAGCCCTGGACCAAAAGAGAAAAACAAAAAAAAAAGAGGAAAAACAACCTCCCAAAAGAATGAGATGATCTGAGGGACAGAGCAGCTCTGCTGGGAGAGGTTGTTCAGCCTGGAGAGGAGAAGCTCTGGGGTGACAAAAATGAGGCCTTGCAGGGCCTGCAGGAGCCAACAAAAAAGATGGAGACTCGTTACAAGGGCGTGGACAAGGGGGAATGGCTTCAAACTGGAAGAAAGTAGGGTTAGACGGGATTTTGGGAAGGAATTGTTCCCTGGCACAGGGTGCCCAGAGCAGCTGTGGCTGCCCCTGGATCCCTGGCAGCGCCCAAGGCCAGGCTGGACAGGGCTTGGAGCAGCCTGGGATGGTGGGAGGTGTCCCTGCCATGGCAGGGGGTGGCACAATGGCTTTTAAAGTCCTTCCAACTCAAACTCTTCAGGGATGGCATGACAGAAATCTCCATCTCCCTGCTGGAATGGTGAGATCTCCTCTGGGCAGGGTTTGGGGCAGAGCTGGCAGCAGCAGAGGGACACAGGGACCGGCAGCCTGGCACTGCATCCAAGCAGGGAACAGCTCACTCCGAGTGCCAGGGGTGAATCCTGCCCCAAAACCCAGCAGGACACGAGGGTTTGCTGCACAGGGATGGATGCTCCATGTCCTGCTGCAGCCCCAGTATTGCCTTTGGCAATCCCATGCCAGGGATCACCCAAATTCACCACACACCCTTCCCCTGCCACAGCCTCAGCAGCACTGGGTGCTCTCCAGCCAGGTTTTAAAAGGAGCCCAACCAAGAACTCCTCCAAATATGTTTCCAAAAAAGCCCAAATATTTCCACATTGCGGCCTCAGCTCCCTGATAAGCAACTAACAAATCAGTGTACATGTTTACAGTGCACATTTCAGATCTGTTAGGTAATGAGAGCTCCAAGCTGGATAAGCCCTGCTTAGATTGCTTGGAACTGGAAGCACAGAATTCCGAATTTATCGTCGTGCTATCCAAAAATAAACACATTCACTCAGCAAGGACTTGTGACTCGTGAAAAATTATCAGAGTTTTGTGCTTTCCTAACTCACATTATAAAGCCTTCCCACGCAAATACAGCCCTATTTCACTTGTATCTTCTCATCAGCTTGTATTATTTAAAACATGTGGGACATTCACACAGATGGAAAAAAAAAAATAGGTCAGGCTCGAAACAAAAGCCAAGCCATCCTGTTTTATTAGCAGCTTAAACATGCAGAACTGTAATTTGAAATTCCAAGGAAAGCAACATAATGAAAACATTCTGAACACACAAATAATAATAAAAAAAAACCTCCTGCAAATTGCTGCAACCTTAAATTGCCGTGTTGCCAAATGCCTTAAACTAAAAAACAGAACTGATAAGAAGGCTTCTCCAACTGAAATGAAAATGCACAGAAAGAACTACACTGCTCAGTGATCACACGGAATCTGGGCTATAAATCTAGGATTTTTCTAACATCAGCAGCCTGTGTAACAGTCCAGCACCTTTGAAATACTGTTGGACAATGAACAATTTGCAAAATCTTGTCCTTTTATTTGCCAAGATCCTACTTTTAAGTAAATTTATTCCTTTCCTTGAACTGACACTACAAACCTCAGAAACATTTATTAATTTCCCTTTTATCTGCTGCACAACCCCACTATTTACTAGCAGAATACGTAAAGCCCAAATCAGTGCAGTGAATTTAATTTAGTTATTCAAGCTGAATGTCCCAAACATCATTTGATTGCTGCCACCTATTGTTGTTCCAAACATGTTGCAAGGAGTTAACCCTTTATGCAGCAGCTACTGGAACTCATGCTGGCTCTGCTGCTGATAAATATGCAACTGAATAATTAGCATCTATTTGGGTGTGATAATTGTAGAAAGAATGAATAAAGGCTGAAAATTAAGGTGAATTATATTTATATATGTATATATACACAGACACACACTGCTTATTACATTATTTATTTTATAAAAAATTGAGCATGTTTACACACTAATTTCTCCATTAATCTAAGACTTGCTTTTTCTCTCACAAGATAAGTAAATCTGGAACATTCATTTCTCACACAGCCCATGTAACATGGTAATTTCAGGTTGCCAAAGGCCACTTAATTGTGTTTCCTCCTAAACACACACAGCTCCACCATGACATCATGTTCAGGCTCATCTAAGAGGTTAAAGGACATAAAAACTATCCAGTCTAGTTTAGTCTACTGAGTTCAAGTATTCAAACAGAAATGTAAAATTTGAGAGGTTGTTTCAAAATATTAATTTTCCAAGTATGGTGTAAATAAGTGAAAATTGTTTTCAAAAAAACACGTGGGGGGCAAAAGACCTCCTCCCTCAAACAGGAAAATGGTGAACTCCAGAGGGGTAAATTCCTACCTCTGGCAACTCATTTGAACTCTCCAATTCAGGCTCAAATGTCAAAAGCTAATTCCAACCCTCACTAAAGGATCAAAGCATCCCCTACCCCACCCAGCTGTTCCTTTGCTCCTTCTCCTCTCCTGCAGCCTTTATCCACACATTAATGCCAGCAATGCCTCACCACAACCCACTTAAAAATTCATCTGGATTTCAGCTGGGAGGCAAATTAACCCAAGTGGCTCAAGAGGGTCCTGGCACAGGTCTCCAGCCAAGCACTTCAACCCCTGGCAAAACTGGCCCAAAAAGGGAGCAGCTCAGATGGGGCAAGAGAAGGGAGACCACGGGGGATGTGGGAAAGCTTTACACCCATAAATGGGTTTAATAAATAAACGCCCCTGATGAAGGAGCTGCCAAAGCAGGGATGTGACACCAGAGCAGCAGGAACAGCCAAAACTCATTCCTCTAACACCCCTCATCCCAAACCACAACAGCCACTGGGATTAACACTGCCCAGGCACATTTTTCAGTTAGCTCCAGATCCTTCTATACAATAAGGGCCTCCCAGGGCAGCAGGGAATATTCCCAAATCCTGTCCCCTTCCAGTGGCAGAGTGGCCACACGTGACCCTTTGCTGGCCACACAGGAGGAAGCCCTCCTCTTCCTCCAGCTCTGCACATCTCCTGCTCCATCCCACGGCAGCAACAGAGCCCTGGCACCCGCAGTGACAGCCGGAGGGAAATTTCCAACAGGCAGCAGGAACCTCCCCTTCCAGGAGCAGCTGGAATCGCTACCGGGAGGGAATGCACAAACATGGCTCCTGCTAGAATCCGATTTCTGCCCCTAGATTTGGGAGGCCAGAGCGTACAAATGACTGAAAAGTGTCAATGTGGAGGGGAGAGAACACCCATTCCTTCCAGCAGCTGTCAGGAAATTGCATCTTAAATCCCAAGCGAGGTGAATCCAGGGAAGGCTCCCTTCTCTGCCAGCAAAACTCGGCTCTCTGACACACAACCAAAACAACGCTGAGATTTACACACAGCGATGCACCCGAGCCTCTGAAAGTCAAAACAGAGCTGAAACTGCACCCTGCTCAGGCTCTGAAACACCCTCCTCAGCTGCTCTTCCCTGCCCTTAGCCTAAAGAACCAGGAGTAAAGATGCCCCTGGCTCCAATGCCAAGGAGCTCTGGGGTAAGGGGAGTCAGTCCTGCAGCCCGAGATGCAGAATGAACAGCTGGATGGACATCTGGAAGCTGGTCTCAACCCAGGGAACAGGCAGAGAGGGGAAGAGAAACAGGAAAGAAGGGGAGGAGAAGACAAAACTTGCTGGATTCCCTCAGATAAAAGTCAATCCTGCAGTTACACAGAGTATGGAGAGAGGATGCTGTGGGAAGCATCTGGCAGCTCCAGCTCACTCAAGAGCAAGTGAAATGAGCTGTTCACCTTAATTACACCTTCTGAAGGGGAGCTGCCCGCTTTCTGGACAAGAAAGGATTTAATTACCCCAAGAAAAACAATTTGCAAAGACATCAGTGCCAGCTGGAGAAGGCCTTGAGATGGAGACAGCACAAACTCAGGAAAGCTCTGAAAAAACACTCCCTCTACTTCTCTTCTACTTTTTATTTCTATTTTTCTATGCCATTTATTATTCTATTTTTATTTCTTTCACTATTAACCGGACCACCACAGTAAGGACAGGATGGGCCAGACCCACCATTATTTTCCAGGGTAAATGGAAGGCCTCATGAAGCAGCAACTAGCAGAGAAGTGCTGTTCTTTCAGGATACTCACCTATTTAGGCACAAAGCTTAAAATCAGAGGTTGTAATGAAGATCCTTCTCTTTACAGAAATGCTCAAGAAAACTTGTGCAATTCAGTAACTATTTGCAAGCTGCACAAAGACAAGCCCTGCTTTAGAAGTCAGCAAAAAAAATTAAAGACCAGATTCAAAACTGACTCATCCATTTAGGTATTTTATGCTGTCAAAACATGTATGGCCTTGAAATTACCCACCTCTTATCATTTTCCAGCCTGTCCTGATGGAATAATTAAGCAGCTCAGACTGCTGAGTGTTCTTTTTTGCTTCACAAGATGCTCAAATGCTATTTTAAATTCGACAGCTGCCACCTTGAGGGCCCGAACTTACTGTTCACAATGTCACCTTGCAGCTGGAGAATCTGTGGGACAGGCATGGTGAGAATTACCACATCAAAGTGCTCCGGGGGCCCGGCTTTCCTGGAGACTTCCCACCTGCCATCCCGCAGAGAGATGTGAGTTACGTGCTGCTCATAGGACACCTCTGCACCTGTGTGGGAAAAAGACCTTATAGCAGGGAATTCCACAGGGAAAATGCACTCAGAGAGAGTTATAGCAAGGGGGGAAAGGGGGAATGGCTTCCCACTGCCAGAGGGAAGGAATATAGCTAATTATTTACAAGGTTAGGGTATAAAAAACAGCTGATTAAAAAAAAATGAAATCAATTTCAGGGAATGCCAAAGCTTGACTATTCTCACAGCTCAATCTTTTCCAAACAGGGTTAAATAAGTCATTGAACTGCTCACGTGGTTGTGCCACATGACATCTAAGGCAGCAGTTAGAGAGTTTAAACTCATTTCACAAAGGACTCTCCACCCAGCAGGCTCACATCCTTTCCCCAAAACACAGGGTGGAGCTCACCCCTCTGCCTCCAGTTACACAGCAGATGTTCTATAAGGACTTTTATACCTGCAGGACTCGGAAATTCACCGAGCTCACAGACACGTTTATCCACCCAGGCGACTTCCAGGCATACACAAACCAAAAGGAACGTAAACATCCTCATCAGGGATTTAAATCTGAAACCCCGTTCAAAGGCACCGCCAAAAACACAGCCATTAAAACCTTTCCCTTCACACAAAGGCATCCAAAGGCATTACCTGACTGCTCCAAATAGTACTTGACAACCGAGGAGATGCCCTGGGGTGCCACGTAATTGCGGGAGCCTTCTCTCACCACCATTCCTTCCACGGGAGCGGTCAGTGGCTGCAGGATGCCGTGAGTGACAAGCTCCTCGTAGAAGCTGGAAAGGAAGAAACACACGGGAAATACAGATGAATGCACGGAAATACACATGAAAACTCGCTCTGTTTCCCACAATCAAAGTTAAGACCAGCCTGAATTTTAACAGGCTGCATTTCAAGGCAGGTTATGCATAAATGCAGCAATAAAAGAACAAACTACCTTGCTATTGCATTGGGCCTGGCCTTTTACCTGAGAGCAAGGCTACCTGTGATGGAACTGTCAGCAGCTTGACCCGGAGGCAGAGGAATACACAGCATTTCCCCAAAGCTCTGAACAGCAGCACGACCTCCACACCCGCTGCGGAGCACAGGAATATTCAGGTGCCTGAAGCGCACCTGCCCTTCCGCTGCTTTCCAGGCAAATTCTGCATTTTCGCACCGCTGCTACACCTCTATCCCCTTCCCCATGGCACAGGCGAGCTACCCCTGCACCTTTCATCCCAACCTACACCTTTCCCGGCTTCCACCCCTCCACTGCTGCCCGCAAATCCCGCAGGCAGGGCAGGGCAGGGCAGGGCGGCGAGCGAGCGGCTGCGGGGCTTTGGGGGCTGGCAGGGGTTAAAGCAGGGATGGGGATGGGATGGGATGGGGATGGGGATGGGGATGGGATGGGACAGGGCGGGTCTCACCTGAGCCGCGGCCCCGCCAGCTCCGGCTCGCAGGTGACGAACTGCGCGCCCAGGTCGGCGCTGCCGCGGTCCGTGCGCGTCGTGCTCATGCGGCCCCCTGCGCGACACGCCACACACGACACCACACATGACATGACACCACACATGACACCACGCGGCAGGGCTCCCCCGCCCCGCCGGACCCACCTGCGCCCCGCGCCTTGTCCCAGACGGCCACCTGTCCCCGCGGGGCCCCGCGCAGCAGCGCCGCGCCCGCCGCGCCCGTCAGCCCCGCGCCCACCACCAGCACCCGCGCCATGGCCGCCGCAGCAGCCGGGCACCCGGGCACCGGCACCGGCCCGCCCCGGACACCGACACCGGCCCGCCCCGGACACCGACACCGGCCCGCCCCGGCCACCGACACGGACACGCCTCTCCGCGGGCGGGGCATCACACGCTGCTGCACGCCCCCCGGGCGAGCCACGCCTATGGGCGGGGCTGGGAAAGGACACGCCCACAGCACGCACCTGTGCGCGCGCGGGAGCCCGCGGACACACACCTGGGCACACACCTGTGATGAGCACACACCTGTATGTGCACGCCTGTACACACGCACACACACCCCTGCACGTGCAAGCCTGCCTGGTGCACACACCTATACACAAACACACCCCTGTGTCACACATACACCTGTGTCACACACAGCTACACACACAGACACCCCTGTGTCCCACACACACCTCTGTCACACACACCTGTGGGTCTCACACACCCCTGTGTGTCACACACCCCCATGTGTCACACACCTGCCGGCGCTCCGGAGCTGGCTGTGTCCCCCCTCCCCGAGCAGCCCGAGCCGTATCCGCTCCTGCCCGCCCGGAGATGCTCCCAGCAGGGGCCGGGGGGTGACACCTTCCAACACCGGCCGCTGTTTTGCAAGGAGGCACGGCTGGCTGTGAGCAAAGCGGGATGCTGGGCCCGGAGCAAACAGCGCTGAGGGGCGGTGACACCGCGTGGTGACACTGCGTGGTGACACTGTGCAATGCCTGTGCCCCAGGAAAACAACCTCCCGTGCCCGGAGCCCCGAGAGTGGGCAGCTGGGGAAGGATCTGGGCTGCTACCCTTACCCAGCTGCGTGGGTGGGAGATGTTCCAGAAAACTGGCGATAGGATCGTTGTGGTATGGGGGACACCAGAAGGCGACACTTTGGTGTTTATCTGCAGAGAGGTGTGAAGCTCTTGTGCCCCAGGCACAGGCAGGTGTTGGTGGTGCTCCTCTCCCCAAAGGGAGCTCCGAGCTGACCTCAGGGCAGGTGTTGTTTAATCGGCTCTTCCTGGAGAGAGGTGGGAGCCCCTGTCTCCCCTTCCCATGTGTTGTGGGGCTGTCACAGAGGAGGACGTGTGCTCAGTCTGGCACTTTTTTCAGAAAAATAAAGGATGGGCTGTATAACTGACTGTCCAACATGTGAGAGGTTACAGCTGTGGATTCCCATTTGTGGGAGGTTTTCTCTCCTCAGCACTGCTGCCCCCAAAAGAAGCTTCAGGAGGTTGTGTCCCCTCCTCAGCACCTCCTGCAGGGCTGGCACCTTGTCCTATTCCCTGTCTGCTGTGGATCCATCCAGATTCTGCTGTCTCCCAGAGGACCCGTGGGGCTGTAATTCAGCAGGGGATTGTCACCACCATTTGTCACCACCCTTGCTGGTGTCTTTATGAAAAGGAGATTCCTCAAACCTCACAATATTTGGCCCTCTGGCCACCGAATGGCTCTGTGTGGGAGATGTGCTTGGGAATGGTTGATGGCTCTGAGTGGTCACCTGGATTGTCACTGCCAGCTCGGCATGCCAGTGAGCTCAGCAGTCTCTCACATGTGGAAGCAGGCAGGAAAGCAGTCACAGAGTCACAGAACCATGGAATATCCAGAGCTGGAAGGGACCACAGGGCTCACCAGTCCAACTCCTGGCCCTGCCCAGACACCCCAAAAATCCCACCCTGTGTGGAGCTCTGGCAGCCTTGGGGCTGTGCCCATTCCCTGGGGAGCCTGGGCAGTGCCCAGCACCCTCTGAGGGAAGCACCTTTCCTGATCTCCAGCCATTCCCTGGCCCTGTCCCTGTCACAGAGCAGAGCTCAGGGCGGCCCTGGGGAGGAGCTGCAGCCCCTGGTGAGGTCTGACCTCAGTGTGCTCTTCTCCAGCTGAACAAACCAAATTCCCTCAGCCAGTCTCTGTGTGACCCTCCAGACCCCTCACCATCATCTCCTTTGAATCCTTTCTAACACCTATTAGATGTAGAAGAGTATTAAGACATTACTACACTTAAAGAGTTGAGGCCAAAAGAGGAACACCAAGAATTAAAACAGAATCCCTGGCAGTAGTTTTACAGAAAACTCGATGATTAAACTTGAGCGTGATGGGTAGCACTGAAGTTTCCACTGGAATGGAAAAAGCTCTGTGCTCACCTGATGAGCACGTGGGGACTGCCAGCAAAAAAGCAGGAGTGGTGCAAGAGAGCAGGAGCTGGGTGAGAACCCTTGGAGGTGTGACATGTGCCTGCTTTAGGGCTAAACACCTACCTGAAGTATGTGCTGGTGGCAGCTGGCCCTGGATGAGGGCAGGGCACGGGGACACGGATTAGCAGCTGTGGCACAACAGCCTTACTGGAAATGATCTGGGAAGGGTGGCAGGCACCACGCTGGACACGAGCCAGCAATGTGCTCTCCCTGCAAGGATGGAGAACCCCGGCCTGGGCCACAGAAGAGGGCAAGGGGCACCTGGCTGTGGTCACCCCCGCCAAGGAAGGTGACATCTGGATGCTATGTCCAGTCTGGAATGGCTGGTGGGAGGGACGTGAAGATGGTGACCTCCACAGAGGCTGATGAGCTGTCAGTGACCCTGCAGCAGGAGGTGGAAGGAGCTGAGGGGGTCTGGCCATGCAGTGAAGTTCAAGGGACTCTCCTTGATCCTGATGCCTTGAGAAGCTGACCTAGAACAGGGGCCAGAGAGAGCTAAAGAATAAAGCAGAGATTTAATAAAAGGCCTGAATGGATCCACCTTGGGCAGCACAAGAGCCCAGCCAGGGCTGCACCCAGGATGAACCAAAATGGTCACAAAAAATGCATGACTGGTTACAGGGTCTCTCACTTTGATAAGTTCTGCTCAATTTGCATATTGGAGTTAATTGTCAAATTACAGCTTTAGGTTATGAAGTCCCACCCTGCTTATTTTTCTTCTTCAATTCACCGTTTTTTATCATCTTGGGCCTGAAATTTGAGTGGTTGTCATTGGTTCCCAGCTAGAGAAGGAATTGTCTCTCTACTCTGTGAAGAGAGCTCACCATCCCTTAATGTGATGCCTACACTTACACACTAAAGCAGCACAGAATCTGGAAAATATAAAAGCTAAACCTGAGGCATCAATCCCATTCAGCCTCTGCAGTGGTGGTGCTTCAGCAGGAGCTGCACAGGACCCTCAGGAGGCTGGAGCTCCTTGTAAGAGCTATGGCAATGTCCTGCTCTCCGAGTGCTGCAGGACTCTTCTGGGTGCAGCCTTTGTCTTGCCCCTTCCGGTGCCTCCAGATGAGTGTGGCCAGAGCTGCTCTGCCCTTTCCTTGGAGTGTAGGTTTCCATGTTCAGTTTCCTCAGAAGGTGAAAGCCAGAGTGTCTTACTCAGCTTCAGTACCCCAAAAACAAAGTCACCTTTCACCTCCAAACCTCCAGATTACAAACCCCTGTTCTACTCTGTGTTTATAGAAGTGGGACAAACTAGGTGCATACCTTGGACACATCTCAGGCCCGTTCCAGGCTGACAGACAAAGACACCTTTCCCTACTGACCTTTCACCACAATTTCCACAGCAAAACAATCTAGGAAAGAAGGGCAGGAGGCAGCCTCAGCCCTGGCACGGGTGATGGAGAGGGATAACTCTCCCTGTTGGCAGGACACTTGCAGGATAAGGCACTCGGGTACTCCTCATACCTCCCTGTAAGGGTGTGAAGAACAAGGGTGTTGTGGTGGGCTGGCACAGCTCCATCCCCAGCCCAAAGTGGGGCAGGTGGAGGGAACTGGGAGAGCAAAAGTGAAAAAGTGGGTCAAGGGATAGACAAGGTATGGGGTGTTGCTATGGCAACTTGGCTGGGTCCCATCCCTGTGCTATGAGGGAAGGGAACTCCATCCCAGCCTGACCCAGTACAGATGTTTTCAGGCTGTTGCCTGGGATTTAATCTCCATCTCACATGTGGCATCTTTGTATAACAAGAAGCATCATCATTCCTAAACCACAACTACGGGAAATCCATTTTAGATTTTGATCTTTCCTTGCAATAACTTAATTATGTCTCTTGTAATAAATAAATAAAACCACCATTGAAATGGGAAGCTGGAAACTTTCTTCAGCAATACCAATTAAACCACTTTATCAATGGGAATCACCTCCAAACATCCACAGTCACTTGACTCTGCCTAAACAATATTTAACTGGCCTCCACAAACAAATTCTGGGGAACTGCACTTTCTAAATTGTGCTGTCACCTAATGATTTATATGTTCTGTATCCCAGGGTGTTTACACTTGCCACCCCACCCTGCAGCTAGTTCAAATAGGGCTGTCTCCAGAGGGGTGCAGAGCAGTGCTCCGTGCACCAGCCAGGGTGAGAACCCCTCCTCTGGCACTGCCTCATCTCCATCTCCTCCAGGCTGGGCATCGCTTCCCTGCACTGCCCATCCTCTCCAGGGGCTGACACGTCCCTGCCTCCTCCTGCAGGAGCTGTGCCACCTCTCAGCAGGGCTGGCTGCCTTCCCTTCTGGACAGGTGAGTGTGGGGAAAGCATGGCTGGAGCCTGGGCAGGTGAGTGTGGGAAAGCATGGCTGGAGCCTGGGCAGGTGAGTGTGGGGAAAGCATTCTAAATGTGCCTGTCAATGGCACTTACCACTCATGGCACTTCTAGCCCATGCTTGCCTCAGAACAGGGGACCAAAATCTCATTTTGTGGGTCGGTTCTAGAGGCTGCTCCAGCCCAGTTTTTCTTGTGGTGTCCAGTGTTATGGTTGTTGGAGGGAGCAATCCTGGCCAGACCTTTCAGTACCCGTCTGTGATGCCTCCTGCCCATAACTGTGTGCAAAACCTGCTGTTCCCATCGGCCTCCCCCACCTCCTGTGGCAGCTGCAGTCTCCAGCACATTGAGTGAGGAGTTTTTAAAGCTGTGTTAAACCCAGTATCACTGAGGGATGTCCAGATCTGCTGGAAGATATATCTCTCCCCATTCTGCATATAGATTTGCACTTTAAAATGTCCTTCTCTGAATTAAATGTAATCAGTTCTTGTCCTTTACACCATGATCAAGGAGAAGGGCGAGAAATTAGAGATTTTCTTCTCGTGATTTTATTTCTATTTAGGGAGGGAAGGCAGTGCTGGAATTTATTCATCCTCCCTTTCCCTCCGGGGGAGGTTTGTGCAGTGATGTCAACAGGTGGTGCAAACAGCAGGGTGATGGGACAGAGCTGTCCCTTTTCTGGGAGAGAGACTGGAGCAGTGGCACTGCATGGTCACTGACATGACAAGCAACACTCTACATCCTCTGTGTGCTGGAATGGCTCCATGGAGGTCTGAGCAACCTCAGGGGGTTGGAATGAGAGGGGCTTTAAGGTCCCTCCCAACCCAAACCATTCTGTGATTCTGTGATTTTAACCTCTTGCAGCTCCCAGTGGTTTGTACGGCACCACAAGCGTTGTTTCCTCACCTCCTACAGGAATTCCTGAAAGTCTGCCCCACCTCCCTGGAAATATCCCTGCTGAGATGTGTTCCCTGAGCCACCCCGTGTGCATTAACACTTTTAAGTGGTCATGCAGGCCACCAGACTGAGGCCGAGTCCTGCCTGGGGTGTTCCCCTGCCCTCAGCTCTCCTTGCCCTGCTCTCCCTGGCACTGACTCTGTGGGTGTGTTGTTCCAGGCACAGCGAGGATGTGGCTGGCTCTAGCTCTGGGGTCCGTGTTCCTCGGGATGGCGTCTGGGGAATGCTTCTTGAATTCCCCATCTCCCAAGAACCCAGAAGCAGGGATGAACATTGTAAGTATGATGGCATTGGAGAGGAGGTGGGAAGTGCCCAGGAAACAGCCACCACTAAATAATTACAATGAAATATCACATTCAGGGATTTCCTTGCAGTAGCCTTGAAAATATTATTATTTATGGGAATAAATCACACAGGGCTCCATTTTCTTAATGCTGGAAAAGACACCCTTCTTTATTCATAAACTCCTTTTTATACAGTTTTACAGACCTCGTAATTGACTCTAATTGGTCAGTAGCTTTTTTTCCAATTACTTTTATTGGTTATTAACAAATTGTTGTTTTGTATTGATTGGTCACTTAAACTCTCAGTGTGTACATGCAGGGAAATTGTTTGTGAGAGATAGTTTTCAATTGTTGTTCTGTATTGATTGGTCACTTAAACTCTAGTGTGTACATGCAGGGAAATTGTTTGTGAGAGATAGTTTTCATTTTTCTATCTTGGTGCAAAAGCAGTTTATACAGGTGCAAGTTATTTTTTACCCATGAATAGCTTGTTATGTTAACTAATTGCTCACCCCAGGATTGCTTTCACATGGGAACTTGTAAAATGCTGGCTTTGACCAGGCCAGCCACTGATTCCAGGAGAGCAGGCTTGATTTTATGGAGCCTTTCTCCATGATTTTTCTACCTTACTGCAACAATTTGCTTTCTTCTTGTTGCAGAGTGAAATGATCTCCTTCTGGGGGTACCCCAGCGAGGAGTATGACGTGGTGACAGAAGATGGCTACATCCTTCAGCTGAACAGGATTCCTCATGGGAGGGGAAATGCTGGGTGCCAAGGTAAAACTGATGCCATACACACCTTGAGCCACTCACTGGGATACCAGGGCTGGTGCAAGAGGGTTCTCAGGGTTCCCCCTGGCTTGGCATCTGTAGCACGAGTTTTGATGGATCAGAATTTGTCAGGAAGGCTGATCTCTTACCAGGGATGTTTCCTCACCCTTCAAGGACCCCTGAGCACTGAATGTCAGGCTGCAGTCCCTGCTGGCACACCTTGGGCTCTCTCCAGAGCCTGGCTCCCAAAAAGTGCTCCTGCAGCCATTTGATGGATCAGCAGACTGGTTTGGTACTCCCTGAGGAGCCTCCAGGGGATCCTCTTGTCCTCTGAGGAGGGTTAGATCCATGAAAATTGCATTTTTCCTGTCACATCCCCAGGCTCCCCTGCGTTTGCCTACAGAGCTCCCTGGGCAGCCCAAGTTCTGCCAACATTGCCAGAGATTTTGGGGATAAAGTCCAAGACAATGGTGCATTTTTAAATGAAATCTAGAGTAACACCAACACAAACCTCCCCAGATTTTGGCTGCCATGGGGATAACACTTCATAAACAGTCTCAAAAGGCAACAAAACCATTAAAAATAAGGAGAGCCATCATGCTGCCTGTCTTGCAGGTGTGAGACCCGTGGCACTTCTGCAGCATGGTCTCCTTGCAGAAGGCAGCAGCTGGCTCACCAACTTGCCCAACAGCAGCCTGGGCTTCATCCTGGCAGATGCTGGCTATGATGTCTGGATAGGAAACAGCAGAGGGAACACCTGGTCCAGGAGACACCAGGTCCTGATTACCACACAGGATGAATTCTGGGCGTTCAGGTAAATGGGTCTGAGGGTCCCAGAAACAGCTGGATTCTGTCAGGGTCACGCTGCCCTAGCTGGGGGATGAGTGAACCAGGCTGGACTGAAGCTCATCCAAGTTATTTTGAGTGAACACCCCACGTGAAAACTCAGTAGGATGAAGGAGTTTGTGGGCTGGCCCTGCCCTCCCTGCTGGTTTTGTGGTTTGCTGGTGGTGGCTGTGCACGTGCTGCCCCTCTCAGCAGGACATCTCCTCTTCCTTCTGCAGCTTCGATGAGATGGCTAAATACGATCTGCCAGCCATGATCAACTTTATTGAGCAGAAAACAGGACAGAAACAGCTCTATTATATTGGCCATTCCCAAGGCACCACTATAGGTGAGTGGGTCCTTCTGACGACAGCACAAGAAGTCTCCATCTCCTCTCAGATTTGTAAAATTGCTCACTGAAATTAAACTATGTACATGAGTGTCTTGAAAGACTAACCCTTTTTTTCCTACTTTTTTTCACCCCCCAGGTTTTATAGCCTTTTCCACTATGCCCCAGCTGGCTCGGAAAATCAAGGTGTTCTTTGCTCTTTCACCTGTGACCACGGTGATATTTTCTCAGAGCCCGTTTAGAAAACTCTCATTCTTTTCCGACTCTGGGCTTAAGGTTGGTCTGCACTATGTTCTGCACAGCCAAAATGTTTTTCATAGGGATTGTGAAATTATCTGTGGAGTATTTCAAGTCATTTACAGAGAGGGGAGCTCTGCGCTCTGTTTTATAATGAAGGAAAACACATCTCACTGCAGAACCTTTCAGTCTTGTCCTGAATTCACTCCCCAAAATGAATTTTGGTGGTGAATAAAACTGATGCAGAGGCTGTGAATTGAGCCCTAGAATTTAACACAAGAGCATTAATGAAATGTAAGAGATCATGCCCATCAGAAACAAGGAGCAGAAGCATTTAACGGGGTGTAAGGGAGGCTTCACTATGGGCAACCTTAACATGGGGATGAAATAGAAGTTGTAAAGTGCTGATGCTTTGGGGAAAAGCATGACCAGACTTTGTATTTGATGAGCACATTTGGGATTTTACAGGAGCTGTTTGGCACCAGGGAGTTCCTGCCACACACTGCCCTGGGGGAGCTGGTCCTCTCCAGGTTCTGTGTCTGCTCCAAGATCTGCAAGCACGTCCTGGCTACAGTTTTTGGGTTTAACTGGAAGAACACAAACATGGTATGTGGGAATCAATCTGCAGAGGGTCCTTCTGAAGGCCAAAACCTTGGCAAAGCCCTGTTTTGCAGAGCCAAGGGAATGCTGTGAAATGTGAAATGTGCTCGTGTCCTTGCAGAGCCGATTCGATGTGTACATGGGACACACCCCAGCAGGCTCCTCTGTCCAGAACATCATCCACTGGCTGCAGGTAAACCTTCCCAGCTTCCCTCCCGTGCCCAGCAGAGTGTGCCTGCTCCCTCGTGGGCAGCCTGCCATGCTGCTTGCTGCAAGACACACCTTTGCCAGGTGCTTGTTGGTTTTGTTTCCACCCTGCCATAAAACACTCGGCAGATTTCAGAGCCCCCAGAGGAGTGGATCTGTCAGGAGGAGCACGTGGAGCTGAGGGCCCTGCGTCCACAGCAGGCACATTGCAGGGCTCTCATTTCAAGCCAGCTCCAGCCCTGCAGCCCCAGTGCCATCAGTGGTCAGGCTGTGGCAGAGGTGCATCAGGACAGCAGCCAATTAAGCTTAGTTCCGATAAAGTTCATTATTTCTCCTTCTTCCCCTCGTGGGCATGAGAACAGTCACCACCAGAGCCCTCTGACACTGCAATTGTGTTCTGCTGCACTCTTTTTCTCTTCCCCAAGCTAAAAATTTGCACATTTTTTTGGTACATTGCAGGCTCAGCCCTTCTCTGAGTTGTGTGCCACACGCTGTATTCAGGGCACAGCTTCTTCCCCGTGTGGAATTCCTGCTCAGGGACCCCAAAAGAACTCTGTGGGGTTTGTAGCAAGAACACAGACTCCATTTTCTAAAGTGCTGCTGCCCAGTGGAGGGATCAAGCCACCTTGACCTTGCATTGCTGCCAGTCCTGTTCCAGTCAGACAAGAGATGTTCAGAGGCTCCTTCCATCTTTGTGCCATTTCAGGCCCACTCTCCAGCCCACAAGGAATACTTAGAGTTCTAAACCCATTTCCCAGAGCATTTTAATTTCTTCCCATCCTGATGTTATCCACAAACATTAGAAGCATAACCTCTGCCCATTTGTCCAAAATCATGACAATAATTACTTGTGCTGGGCCTAGGGCCAGACCTGTGAGACACACTTGAAAAATCCTGGTTCAGAGGTGAAAACTAACTTTTGAGGGTTGACTGCACCCCCAGAGAGCTGTGATTTCACTCAGATTTTACTGTGATTTTATTGCATGTCTGAATTTGCTGCAGGGAGTCCATGGTGGGGCACTGAGAGCTTTTGATGGTGGGCACATGTACAACAGCCTTCATTACAGACAGGTGAGGTGCTTCCAGTGGCCTTCCCTTTCCCTGCTCTCTTCCCAAGCATTCCTGCTGTGTCTTCCCTTAATGCATTCCTCCCTTCACAAACTGGAAGTTAGGATCTCTGCCTGCAACAACAGCATTTTCCATTCTCAACTTTATTTTGCAAATAGCTTTTAGATGGAATAAAACACTTTAAATTAGATGCTTTCCACTTTCCATAGAAAAAGGGGAAATGGTCTCAAGTTACACCGGGGTGAATATTAGGAAAAATTGCTTCTCTGAAATAGTGGTTAAGCCTTGGAACAGAAAAAAAAAAAGCTTATTTCTTCCTTAAACAAACAAAAAAATTGTTCAGAAAGCAGCATGCTCCTCAACTGGATTAATTACACTGCAGGTAATGAGAGTTGTTGTTGACAAATCACCTCGTGGCAAGTCCTCAGGGTGTGGAGGTGAAACAAACCCTCCAGAAACATTTTAATTTCAAAAACTTGCTTCCAAACCCCTCCCTGCTGTCACTGAAGGAAGTGCTGGTGAAGTGTCACCACAAACCCAGCAGGGCTGGCTGGGAGGGACCTGTGGAGGTCAGGATGATCCAACAGCACAGCATCAGGGCAGCCAATGTTCTGCCTCCTTATCCAAACCATCTGTACAATCAGAACTGGAATCTCTAGCTGGGCAGAACAAATTCTCTAATTAATTTTAATTAACTAAATTAGTTAATTATTAATTAAATTAATTCTCTAAATCATAGCACGTAAGGCTCTGCTACATCCCTACAAAATTCCTTTCCTTTCCAGAAGAAAGGAGTTCCAGATTTCATTTCCCCCATTCCCAAAGACTAGCAACAGTGCACAGTTTGTTGCAGTCCAGCAATATCTCTTCTTTGTGAAGCCCCTTTTCCATCACCTCCTTTGTGAAGCCCCTTTTCCATCTCCTCCTTGTGACACCACTTTTCCATCTGCTCTTTGTGAATCCACATTTCCATGTCTTCTTTGTGAAGCCCCTTTTCCCTCTTCTCTTTGTGAAGCCCCTTTTCCTTCTCCTCTTTGTGAAGTACCTTTTCCATTTCCACTTTTTGAATCCCCTTTTCCCTCTCCTCCTTGTGAAGCCCCTTTTCCATCTGCTCCTTGTGAAGCTCTTTTTTCCTCTCCTCCTTCTGAAGACCCTTTTCCATCTCCACTTTGTGAAGCCACTTTTCCCTCTCCTCCTGGTGACACCACTTTTTCCATCTCCTCCTTGTGAAGCCCCTTTTCCACATCTTCTCTTTGTGAAGCCCCTTTTCCATCTCCTCCTTGTGGCACCACTTTTTCCACCTCCACTTCATGAAGCCCCTTTTCCACCTCCACTTTGTGAATCCCCTTTTCCCTCTCCTCAGACCGGGGCTCCGTTCTACGACGTGCAGACCATGGAGGTGCCCACGGCCATCTGGAATGCAGGCCAGGACTGCCTGGCCGACCCCCGGGACACCGCCCTCCTCCTGCCCCAGGTCAAGAACCTGGTGCACCACAAGCTGATCCCCCACTGGAACCACATGGATTTTGTGCTGGGTCTCGATGCCACCAAGGTTTTGTACCGGGAAATCCTTGACATCATGAAGAAGTATCCCTAAAGATGCTTGTTCTACTTGATATGATTTATTTTTTTTTAGTGCTGTCTCTAGAGGATTTTGAAATTTCTTTCTGTTTGGACCACATGAGTATTGTTGATTAAAATGTTCTGCTTTTAACTGGAGCACAGGGTAGGGAGAGGAGCCTTCGTGCTGTTCCTGGCTGGCACTGCATTGCCTTCCTTTTCCCTCCTTTTCCCTCCTTTTCCCTCCTTTTCCCTCCTTTTCCCTCCTTCTTTTTTTTTGTTTTGGTTGGTTGGTTGGTTTTTTGGTTTGGTTTGGTTTCTTTTTGTTTATTTTTGGGGTTTTTGGGGGTTTCGTTTTGAGGTTTTTGTTTTTGGGGGATTTTTTTGTGCCTTCATCAGTGACACAAAGCTCATTGTTGCTGTCTCGGGTCTGCCACTGCTACGCCTAAACCATCAAGGTGGATCAGAAAGAGATCCAGCAGATCTGTGGTGAAAAACACCAGAATTAGGATCCCAGAATGGTTTGGGTGGGAAGGACCTTAAAGCCCATCCACCTTCCACTGTCCCAGGCTGCTCCCAGCCTTGTCCAGCCTGGCCTTGGGCACTGCCAGGGATCCAGGGGCAGCCACAGCTGCTCTGGGCACCCTGTGCCAGGGCCTGCCCACCCTGCCAGGGAACAATTCCTTCCCAAAATCCCATCCCTGTCCTCTGGCAGTGGAAGCCATTCCCTGTGTCCTGTCCCTCCACCCCTTGTAAATAGTTTCTCTCCATCTTTCTCCCTTCAGGTTCTGGAAGGACATCTCCCTAGGGAAAAAAACAGTCCTAGTGGTTTTGAATTCAATAAAAACTGTAATTAATCCCATTTTTAATGTGGCTGGGTTTGGGCATTTTTTTTTTCCTTTCAGTGACTGAGAGGTGAGAAATTAATAAATCCTGAAGAGAAATTACAAGTCAGGCAGCCCAGTGTGTGGTTCTGGTGGAGAATGTGTAAAATCCAAATAAAAAGGGGCTTAGGGCATTCACAAAGTGCTTATCTTAGGGTTTATCTGAGAGGTTTGGGGAATCAGGCTGAGCAGTGATCTCAGAGATGCCGTGATTTGTTGATGGTTATTTTTTTTAGCCTGAAGGAAGGGCTGTTATTTTACAGCAATAACAAATTTGGCTGTTTCTGTCAGCTAAAATCCCGAGGCCCAGAAAATCTTGATAAAGAAGAATGAGCTTCTTTCAAGGAGGGAGAATCCAGCTGTGAGGCAAAGCAATATTTTGTGGAGAAATTACTCAAAATCATGCACTGGAGTACGATCAGATTTTCAGTCTGTCAGGCTTCCTTTAAAATTCCCTGGAAGATCTGCATCACCCTGAAAAGCAGAGTAGATCAGTCAGAGGCTTGGGGGAGGCCAGGAAATAAATTTGGGGGAGAGCAGCCATTCCAAGTGTTGCTGTGGGTTTATATATTTTAATACTACATTATATTATATTATATTACATATTATATGATATATCATATATTACATTATATTTAAATTATATATATTATGGTCATATAATATATACTGTATATATTATATTATGTAATATATATATTATATATTATATATTGTATTTTATATAATATATACTATTATAATATGTATAGTATATAAAATATAATATATAATTCTATATTATATATAATTATATTTTATATTTTATAAAATATATAAAATATAATTTATATGTATTAATATGTAATATATTGTATATATAATATTATATATAGTATATTATATATTGTATATGCTATATTAATAGATAATATAATATAATATAATATAATATAATATAATATAATATAAATTTCTGTTGTTGGTATATTACTATATATCAGAATTCCTGGCTCTCATTTGCTTGGCAGAAGCGCAGGACAGAGCTTCCTCCCTGCTGCTGGCTGTCCTTGTGCTGCCCTTGCTGGCTCCTGCAGTGGCCTTTGGGGGAACCTTCCCCGGGTGTCTGAGCCAGGATGTGTTTGCTCCCCTGCTGCTTCCCTCACCATCCTGTCCTCAGCCTTTCTCCTCTGAAGGGCAAAGCCAGCCAGCAAAATGAAAATCTAATGGCATTTATTTATGAAAAGAAGCTTGCATTCATTACAGTTTCCTGTCACAAAGCCACGTTGGTTTCTGTAAATAATTCATTATGTAGTTCTTTTTTTCACCCTTTTTGTTTCCTAAGTATGTAGCTTCCGCCTCATTCCAAGAAGCTTTCTGTAAAATTGTCTTTTTAGGTAATGCTCTTCACCTAATCTGTTTATTCAGTTTCTTCAAGACCATCCATTTCCAGTAAATACTCTTCTCTCTGCTAAGAAAATTGCTTGTAAATTTTATCGGGTGATCAGATTATTGGATTTGGATATTGTTTGCTTTTCTGTCTTTAAGAGATTCTCTAAGCATCTTTCTGTAGTACAAATTCTTGCTTAAGTTAATCCTGTTTAAACACATCTCCTTTTTTTTTTCCTTAAAGTCTCTTGCCAGTTCTGCAGAAACAATCTGCCCAAAGCCAAAAAAAAATTTTAAAATTTGGCTTCACTTGGTATTTTGCCATGGGGAAAAAGGGCATATCCTTGACTGCTTTGTCTCTTTTTCCTGTGCCTAAATATTTTCTTTCCCTTTCAAAACCCTGAAACAAAGCTGTGACCCAAATCCTGGCTGAAATGAAAATAAATCAGCTGCCAGCAGCGGGAGACATTTGCAGATGAGACTCGTGGCACATGGCAGGGCCCAGAAGGTGTAGAAATAAATGAGTGAAGAAGCCCCAGATCGTCCCCTGGGGTCAGGAGGGTACAGAGGGGACACCCCAGGGTGATACAGCAATCCCCAATGGGCACCCAAGCAGCTGGGAAGCACCAAAAATCCCAAATTCCCAGTGAGGGTTTTCCCATGTGCTGTTTTCCATCAGTGCCTGGCAGCCCAATGGTCCCATCCCAGCTGGAGGGGGCCCTCACCTGTCCCCACCACTGCTCCTGTGACAGGTCCCCTGCCACTGCCACCACGGGCTGCCACCCTGCCCAGTCTGGCCTGTTGTCCCTTGCTGGGAGCACTGGGAAGGCACCAGGAACCTCAGGGGACAGTGGCACTGAGGCCGTCACCACCCTGCGGAGGGAGAGGACATTCCATGCCCCCTGTCATTCCATGAGGACGCTCTGTGTCCCCTGTCATCCCATGCCCCCTGTCATCCCATGCCCCCTCTTATCCCATGTCCCCTGTCATCCCATGCCCCCTGTCATTCTGTGCCCTCTGTTGTCTCATGTCCTCTGTCATTCCCTGAGGACATTCCATGCCCCCTGTTATCTCATGTCCCCTCTTATCCCATGCCTCCTGTCATCCCATGCGCTCTGTCATTCCATGCCCCCTGTTATCCCATGTCCCCTGTCATTCCATGAGGACATTCCATGTCCCCTGTCATCCCATGTCCCCTGTCATTCCATGAGGACATCACATGCCCCCTGTCACTCCATGCCCCCTGTCATTCCCTGCTGTCCTGGTGGGACAGGGTCATTGGAGCTGTGCCATGCCAGACCCCCCAGCCTGCTGAGTCAGCACGTTTGTCCCTTGGCTGGCAGGCAAACATGTCCCCAGATTAAAGGCTAAATAAACAAACAAACAAACAAACAGCCTTTTGCCACCGGGCTCCTGGGAGAGCAGGCCAGGTTTGGTGTGGCAGCAGTGACAGCCAGACCTGCTGGCCCTTGGCTGCTGAGCTTCTCTGATTCCGTGAGCAGGTTGACTCTTGTGTGAAAGCGTTGGGAAGCAACATAAAACAGAGGCCAGGACTCCAGGTCCTCACAGTTTTGGGGGTGGAACAGGAGCCTGGCTTTCTTTTCCATGGAAAAGGTGCTTGAAGGTGTTGTTGAAGGCGCAGCCTCAAACACGGGCGTGACCTGCCCTCACCAGTCCCAGCATTGTGTTGCAAATTGCTGGCAACAGCCCTGTGTGCCAACTCCTTACTTCTGGCAACCTGTAATTAACTAATCTATTGACAGATTGACTTCAATCCTTCTCCTTTCCCTCTCCAGATGCAGGTCAGGGGTTGGAATATCTTTGAGGAGCCCTGGGTGGGCTCAGTGCTGTGCAGAGACCCCAGTGTGGCTGGTGCTGGTGCTGGTGGCACCACCAGATGCCTTCCTCAGGAGGATCGATGCCCTGAGCCCAGCTTTGCAGCCCCACAAGCTGCTCAGCTGACGTCAGTTTGGGTTAGAGAGCAATGCTTTATCCTTTAAACATATTTATCTCTCTATTAAAAGGCGGGGGATGCAGAGGTTGCAAATTAATCCCACTGAGGTTTAATCCTCCCAGATCGTCAGCATTTTTATTTTCTTTGGATTGGAGGTCCTAAAACCTTCTGCTGTGGGTGTCTTCTGCCACGTGCAGGGACTTGCAGGCAGAATCCTGCACAGCTCCACAAACAGCTGCTGGCCAGCACATGTAACAGACATTTATTCTGTTTATTGCATGTTATTTATGGCAGAGGTTTGTCTGTCATAAATAATATGCAATAAACAGAATAAGTGAATCCCATGTGATAAATAGATGGGGCTGCTAGGCTGAGCACCTCACCTGATGGGTGGCTCTGCTGGCTGGGCAATCATCAGGGAGGTGGGGAGATGCTGGTGTCTGTTCCTTGGAAAACCTTGAGTTGCTGTTTCTCATCATCCACCCGGTCAGGTTTTCACACCGAGGTTTTGCTCCAGAGTCCTGGAGCTGCTGACCAGGTAGAAATAGCTCAGTCCTGGTCACTGAGCCACACCAAGGCTGCCCTGTGGATGCAGATGAGTTTTCTGGTGCCAGCCTCTGGCAATACTCTGCCATTCCCATCCCTGGCAAGGTGAAAGGCACCTGCAGAGGACTCACCCATCCTGGTGCTGGGCTGCTCTGCTCCTACAAGCTGGCAGATGAATGGCTTTGGGGATTGCAGGGGTTTTTTTCTCTGAGGAGTCCTGCTGATAAGGTGGAACCCAGAAAGTGAGATGCTCAGTTTTGCCAGATGTCCCCAGAACCTGAAACTAAGTCATGGCACTACCAGTTCCTGCCCTGTTTAATGCAGCACAAATGTAAGGAAAAAAATATTCTAACTTGGATTCCAGAGAGTCAGTAAGGAGTTAACCTCTCCAGGATAAACAGAGTGCCTGAAATTTACTCCTCTAGTCATAACTTTCCTTTTCATTTCAACAGTAAGGAGCTAAACAGGATGAGCAAGAAAAGCTTGGCAAGAAACCATGTGGTTGGAGAGGGATAGCTGGGTGGATTTGTGAGGTGAGAAAGGGCTCAGCCTCTCCTGGCACATTTCATCACCAGCAAATCACCAGGTGTGAACTCCACTCTCTGCAGTGAGGAGGATCTGGTGAGGAGAATCTCCTGCTCCTCTGCCCTTTGCCAGCTGTGCCCAGCTCAGAGCCTCCTCTTTCCACCAGTGGCTGTCACAGGGTCACTCTCCTCCCCTCCTGTGCCTAAACCCACGAACCACAGCACGTGCTCGATTCCTGGAGTAAAGTTTCACTCTTGGATTGCTCTGAGCCTGCAAAAACTGGAAAGAAAACCCCAACACAGCAGATCTCCTGCAAGCCAAGGGCTGCGATGCAAGACTTTATTGCAATCTCTACAGACACAGAGGGCAGGCAGAAATCACAGCATTGCATTGAAAAGCCTTAAATCAGTATGGAACAGGGGGACAGGGGACATTTTTACTTAGGGCATCCCTCACACAAACCCAAGGCACATGGGAACACGCAGCTCCTCCATCCTGGGGCAGCACATGGATGGATGGATGGATGGATGGATGGATGGATGGATGGATGGATGGATGGATTTATGGATAGATTCATGGATTCATGGATGGGTTGATGGAGGTATTGATGGAGGGATTCACAGATGGATAGATTCATGGATAGATGGATTCATAGATGGGGTCATCAATGGATTCATGGATGGATTGATGGAGGGATTAATGAATGGGTTCATCAATGGATTCATGGATGGTTTTAGGGGTGGATACATGGATGGATTCATGGCTGGGTGGACTTATGGATGGATTCATGGATGGATGGGTTCATCAATAGATTCATGGATGGGTTCATCGAAGGATCCATGGACGGATTGATGGATGGATCTGTGGATGGATTTATGGATGGATTCGTGGATGGATTCACAGATGGATTGATGGATGGGTTCATGGATGGATTCATAGATGGATTCATAGATGGGTTCGTGGATGGATTCATAGATCGATTCATGGATGGGTTCATGGAGAGATCCATGGATGGATTCATAGATGGGTTAATGGAGGGATTCATGGATGGATTCATAGATGGGTTAATGGAGGGATTCATGAATGGGTTCATGGATGGACCTATGGATGGGTTCATGGATGGATTCATGGATGGGTTCATGGATGGACCTATGGATGGGTTCATGGATGGATTCATAGATGGGTTCATGGATGGATTCATGGATGGGTTCATGGATGGACCTATGGATGGGTTCATGGATGGATTCATAGATGGGTTCATGGATGGATCCACAGATGGATCCATGGATGGACCCATGGATGGATCCACGGATGGATTCATGGATTCTCCTCCATCATGGCCACCATCCGCTGGTACAAGTGCTCTGGGGCGTTCAGGCCCCAGTGGTGGTCGAAGTGGTTCCAGTCAGGGAAGTGCTCATGGTGCACAACGTTGGTGAGGCGGGCCAGCAAGCGTTGGGTCTCCGCAGGGGGAGTGACCCAGTCTTGTCCCCCGCTCCACAGGGCCACCGGCACCCTCATGGCTTCGATCTGGTAAAAGGGAGGCCTCAGCTGGGAAGGGGGAAAGCACTCCTGTTACCTGGGGGCTCTGATGGGTGGGGTGTGCTCCCCCATCCCCATCCCAGCCAGCCCCCTCACCTGGTTGTACTTCTCCATGTTTCTCAGCCCGTAGTCAAACTGCTTGAACTCGGCGGTTTTTGCAGTCTGGAAGGCAGAGGCAAAGGGTTAATCCAGGTAAAATCCCGGATCAGCCCCCCCAGACAGAGACACCTTGGTGCAGCAGCTTAAAAAGCCCTTTTATATCTTAGCTTTGATTCTACCTCCTTGACCTGTTTCCAGCAGCATTTGGAGATGCCACCTTCACATATTAAAGGAAAGTTAAAATAGTTATAAAATCAGAATCTATACCTGTCCCCAGTGCAGAAGATTTTTTACTGATGTATAGTCTGGGAAATGAGATAAATACACATCCAGTCGGCTCTACAGGAAAAAGAAAGTATTTTCTAAGTGAGTTGGGAAGGATGAAAATCCATCTAGGCAAAAAACCTCAAGCATTCTCTCTTATAACTGCAATATAAATGTTATACGCTCTTTATTCTTTAGCAGCTTTATTCTCCCCAGAGCTAGGAGCACCTTTCAAAAGTAAGTCACTTAATCAATGGAAATACACTTAAAATGGAAATACAGTTGGTCCAGTCATTCTTTGGTTATTTTCTTCTGCAAACTTGTTGTGTGTCAGCCAAAAATGAGGCAGCAGTTTCCCTAAGAGACAAGACCATGAGTGATTCTCTCTTACCATGAGGTTTAATACCCCCACCCCACTGCAGGAAATCTCCAAATAACCACTGCCTTTCACACCTTATTTTGGGGGTTTATACTCATTGTTGTGTCTCATTAACTATCTCCAGGTGATAGTTAATGTGACCTGGAGAGCCTGGTGCACTCACAATGTTCAAGTTGTCCCTGTCGAATCCTCCAACAAGGAAGATATTGTTGGCACACATTTCAGCCACTAGAAGACTGCTGCAGTGCTCAACCAGGAGCAGTTTCTCCTTCCTTGGCACCAGAACCAGCTCTCTGGTTCCAAACATCTCCTGCAGGAGCACAAGGAAATGCTAGGAATGATGCTAGGAGCTCCAGCGCCCGCCGCAGGTGCAGGAGCAGCACACAGCAGCAATGCAGGGGGCAGGAGTTGCCAGAAGCCCCAGGATTTTGGCAGTAGCAACCCACAAACACCTCCTGTACCTTGAGCAGCAGGTCTGGTAGAAAGGCCAGCTTTAGCACCGGGCCCTGGGCATGGCAGAAGGTGTACACAGGAGCCAGGGCAAAGAAGAGTTTGATTTTCCTGGCCAGATGTGGCAAGCTGGAAAACGCTATGAAACCTGAAAAGCAGCATGAGAGCACACAACACAAACCCCAGCTCACCCCAGGCCCTGTGTTTGAGGGGTTTTTTGACCAAAAAATGCTCCTTGATGCCAGCAGAGCCCGGGATGGACGGGCAGGACGTGGCAAACCCCTCCATGCAGAAGGCTGGGAAGGCAGGAGGGGACAGCAGCTCCCAGCAGCATCCAGCTTGGGATGGACATTGATGTCACTCACCCAGGGAGCTGCCCTGAGCGTGGCCAACGTAGAACAGCTGCTCCTGCTCCGTTTGCATCAGGATGAAGCCCACCATGGCCGGCAGGTCGTACATGGCCATCTCGTGGAAGCTGCGTGGCAAAGGGAGAGCCTGGAGGAGATTCCCACCTCCCAACCACCCAGGGACACCAGGGGCTCAGCGCTGGCAGCCCTGCAGCCCAGCTGTCCTTGGTGGCCCCCTGACCTGAAGTCCCAGAACTCCTCGGAGGCCACGGAGAGGCTGCGGTGCCGGCAGGACCAGCTGCTGCCCCGGTTGTTCCCGATCCAGACGTCGTGTCCCGCGTCCGCCAGGATGAAGGCCAGGCTGTTCTCAGGCAAATTGTCCACCCAGTCACCACCATCCAGGCAAAACCCATGCACTATCAGCACGGGGGTCCTGGGTCCTGAAAGAGGGAGTTGACGGAAGAAGACACCTTTCCCATATGGAAATAAAACACCACTGTACGTCATGATGCTATTTTCTGCAGGCTGCACATTAAATGTTCCCTTCTCCCATTATTATATCCCTGGTTATGCTGGTGCTTTTTTGTGTTTGGGGAGCTTCTGCCACCCCAGGCCCTGAGCCTGGACCTTGGAGCAGGGGTTTGCTGCAGGGAAAGAGCCACTGGGGCTTTGCTGCATCATACTGCCCCATCTCAGGTGAACTAAAACACAACGCTGAGCTCCTGAAGGCAGCCAGGAAGAAACTCCTCACCCCTCTCCCAGCTGCCCAAACCATGCCTGAAGGCACAGGCACTCCTCTTGCACCTGGGCAGGGGCCAGGGTCACAGCTGGTGGCCCCTGGGTGAGGCTGAGCCCACCTGCGAGCCCCGCGCTGCCCTTGCCGTGGGGAATCCTGTTGAGGCTCAGGAAGTAGCCATCCTCTGTCATCACGTCGTACTCCTCGCTGGGATAGCCATGGAAAAGGATCTTCTGGCTCTGCAGGGACAGAGGGCAGAGAGTGACCCTGTGCCTGCCTCAGCTTCACCCACTGCTGCCACCCACGTGGTGTCCCCCGGTGTCACCTACACCCGAAGGAATCAGAGAGCAGGGAGAGGCCAAGCTCAAGATGAGGGCATGAAGTGAGTGCCAGCAATGTAAACATGGGAGATTTTTGATGCCCTGAGCCTCTCAAAGAGGCCAGGTGCAGATGCAGGGAAGGGGTGAGCCCAGCTGGTCCCTCAGGAAGGACTTTGGGCATGCCCATGGAGATGTGAGGTGCTCCCCCAGCACTTACGATGTTCATGAATATTTCAGGGTTGTGGAATGCTTCAGCATCTGGGATGGCATCTTCCAGCCCCTGGGCCAGGCACAGGGCCACCAGCAGCAGCCACATCTGGCCTGCCCACAGCACCTGGGGGATAAGGGGGCTGGATGAGCAGGGCTGTGGGTGCTCCAGGGGCACAAGGAGCACTGTGCAGCCCCAGCAGCGTGGCAGCACAGCCAAAGCCTGATGCTGCCACAGGGAGCAGGTGTCTGCAGCCCCTTGTGCAGTTTGGAGCCCACCCCAAGCCTCTCTGGGTGGCCATTCTCATCTAGTCCAGCTGTAACTGCAGTGTGGGACAAGTGGCTTCCCACCACCCCCTGCCTGGGAAAAGCATCAGGGTGCTTCAGGGAAATCCTTAGGCTTTCAGATAAAGCATTTCAGGGCAAGAATGCTCCCCTAAAGAGGAGGGGTCATGCCAGACCTCCATCCTGCAGGAGCTTCCATGCTCCATCCCTGCCTTGGGTGTTTTACAGCTCCCTACCAGGTGCTCCTGTGCCACCCACAGCACCCAGCCCAAGGCATTCCAGACTCAAGGGCACATCCAGCAAAGTCCAGTTCCCTGGTGATCTCTTGCAGGAGCTAAAGATGGCTCTCTGCCTCCCAGAGTGTGTTTTCCCAGTAGCCTTATAGCATGGAAAGCTTTCCTGGGCTGCTCAGGAAAACAGCGGAGCGCCGTGTGGGCACAACAAAAACTCCCTCTCACTCAAAAACAAAGTGCCAACGCAAGCCCTGCTCTGAGCTCAAGCCCACCACCAGCACCTCGGTGCCTCCATCTCCACATGCAGGTGAGAAGGGATGTCCTGGGACTAAACTGCTGTGATGGCTGAGGGAAGCAGAGGTTGGATTGCTCTTGGAGCCCCAAGCAAACCACATTGCTAAACCTGATCTCCCTTTGTCCTGCCCAGCTGCCCAACACCACAACTGCAGGCTGGACTCAGTGCAAATCACCTCTTTTAGGGGCTTTTAGTCCTGTAGCCCCTCAAGCTGCCTGTGGAATGAAGATGGAGAGGGCAGCAGGGAGCAGGAGCTGCAGTGGCCAGCTCCTCACCCAGCTTAGCTGCCCACAGACACAGGGAAAGCATTGCAGGCCATGCCTGGGGACATCAGAGCCTGGCCAACTGCTGAAATAAACACTTCACTGAGCACTGGGGGTTACAGGGGATGGAGAAGCCAGGCCTGCTCAGGGATCAGGAGATGCCAGATAGAGCAATGTGATCCCCAGCGCTGTTTTCTTGTTGCTAAACCCACAGGAGTTTCACACCAATTTCATCCCCTGGTCAAGCTTGTCACTTAGGAAAGAGCTTCTTTCCCTTGGGGCTGTCCAGAGAGGAGTCAAATCCCTGCCAAATTCTATGCCCATGGTCCATCTCCCTTAGATCTGCACTTCACCACCTGCAAGGGACCTTCCACTGCTCCATGGCCAGCAACAGCCCACACTCATTTTTACTGATGTATAGTCTGGGAAATTAGATATATACACATCCAGTCGGCTCTGCAGGAAAAAGAAAGTATTTTCTAAGTGAGTTGGGAAGGATGAAAATCCATCTAGGCAAAAAACCTCAAGCATTCTCTCTTATAACTGCAATATAAATGTTATACGTTCTTTATTCTTTAGCAGCTTTATTCTGCTGAGAGCTAGAAGCACCTTTCAAAGGTAAGCCACTTCATCAATATCTTAAAATTGAAATACAGCTGTTCCAGTCATTCTTTGGTTATTTTCTTCTGTAAAATTGTGGTGTGTCAACCAAAAATGAGGCAGGACTTTCCTTTCTGCCTGTGGTTTCTGTGGTTTCTGCACATTTCGTGATGAGAGTTTCCTCCTCTCAACACCCTTCTCTCATCTCCTGAGGTGTGGCACGGAGCTGTCCCTCATGCTGGAGGTCACCTCCACGCCCAAGGCTCTGCTGCCCACCCCAGTGTCACCCAGATGTTACAGTGGCATGCCACGGTGGCCGTGACAAGCTGTGCCACAAAGGTGTCAGGAAAGCAGTGGCAGCATTCAGCAGTGACAGAAGCAGCTCCTCCTGGCACCCCAAGAGTGGCAGAGAGGGAAGGATGAGTCCCTGGGCATGGCAGCCAGGGTGGAGAACAGCAGAGCTCGTCCTCAAAGCTGCTGCTCCCCAGGCACCAGCCCTGGGCAATGCACCCCATCCCTGTCACAGAGCCAAAATGGATGAAGACCCAGGAAAATGCCTAACCACCAAGTTCTCCATGCATCAAACGCAGAGCTGGAATGATAATAACACCTCTCAACTCAGCTGGGATCCTTCCTTTCAGCCATAGCCTGGGCTAGAAGGAGAAGAGGAGAGCAGGAGAGCACCAACCTGACCTTCTGCTTCGAGCCCTCCGTGCAGCCAGGGGGGTTGGTGGCACTGAGGGAAGCAGATCTTGGCTTATAAGGACACCCAGAGGGGCTGGGACTTGTCCATCAACAGCCAGTCCCCCCCCAGCCACACAGTGCAGGGGTTCAGACCCTGCACCCCAAACCCCAGGAGCTCAGCAGCAAAGAGCCACATCCCAAAGTCTGGATGTGTCCCCATCGCCAGGAACACACAGGTCCTGTGGTGTCCCCCAGCTGGGACGGCATTTTTGGCATTCCTTGGCAGAGGGATTCCAGCTGCTCTGTCTGTGCTCTGGGGTTTCCAGGCACTGCTGATCCTGGCTCTGCAGGTGCAGGTGCCTGTTGGTAACCTGTCAGCTCTGCAAGTCAGCACGAGGCTCAGGGACAGGGCTGGGTTGAAAAGAAAGGGGCAAATCTCACCCAGGAGAGGAGGAAGAAATGCCACTTGCACGTGACACTGACTGAATTTGTCAGTGTGGACATCCTGAGAGGGGAAATCCACAGGGTGCACAGCAAATCTCCCATGGCAGGGGTGACAGCCAGCCCCCCACGATGGCTCTGAGGCCGTGGGCCCCTTCAAGCACGTTTTCCAGCCCCACCACCTCTCCTCCTGCCAGGAGAGCAGTGGTGGTGGGAAGGGACCTTTGGGGTCTCCATCTCCATCCCAGCCTCCTGCTCACCCTGGTTTGGGGTGGTATCACTGCTGAGCAAAATATTTCCTCTGTCAGTGCAAAACACCTCTGGATTGGATAGACACACATTTGTTGTGGTTTTCACCAGCAGAATTATTGTTTGGGCTTCTTCCCAGGTTTAAATGCTGGCATGAAAGAGCAGGATGAGGCACTTTGCAAGAGCTCTATTTAATTCTGGGGCCTTTGGGTGCTGTTCCCCACACCCAGCCGAGGTCCTGGAGGAAGAAGGTGGTCTGGTAACAGCTACAGAGAGGTGGCAAAATGCTGGGTGAGGAGTTCCCTGCCCTGGCTGACCCTTCAGGCAGCACCAGGCATGGACCTGACGAGGCAAAGTTGGGCATTCCTTTGAGAAAAGAGAGCAAAAACCCTGCTGAGAAATCCCAGAGAACAAAGTAGGCTTAATCTTCAGGCTGACCTAGGGACAGCCTCCACCAGCAGAAATGATGAGAGTCTTCTCCCTCAGCTTCCCTGCTACTACAGCTTGGGCCTTTGACATCATTCCAGTGATCCTGGGAGGTCACCTGCTCCTTCCCTCCACCCCAGAGCCCAGTGGCTGGGGGGATGCTCCCCAAAACCTCTCCCTAGCCCAGCTCATGACCTGCAGGCTGTGGTTCCCTGCAGCGCTGTCCCCAGTGTCCCCTGCTGCCACCAGAGCAGGGACAGGCTGCTGGGATGCTCAGACCTTCTCCTTCTCCCCAGAATGCAGCAAAGATCCCACCAGGACGTGGGCAGGGATGCCCACAGAGGTTAGGCCAGGTCTGCCTTTGGCCCCCGTGTCCTCACAAGCAGTTCTGGCCTCCAGGCTCACCTTCATCTCCCTCAGAGGCTTGCAGGAAGCCTGACGAGCCTTCCTGGGTCCTTCAGAGCTCCTTCCTCTCCCCAAACCCCCGTTTCCCTCCGTGCCTCTCTGGACAAGCCGAGCCCACAGCTCTCCCTAGGTCTTCCCCCTTTATTTCTCCAGCCCTGTCCCACCTCCTGAGCCTCTCCTCCTGGGCAGGCTGGGCCACTTCTGGGAAGGATGACTCCATATCTGGCCCTCTGCTCCACTCAGGACAGCAGATGTGTTGCACATGCAGGTCCTGGGAGGGGATAATCCCCTCTGCATGGCACTGGGGAGGCTGCATCCCATGCAGAACCCAGATTTGGGATCCCAGGGATTACTGGGACAACCCCACACTGGATAATCCCCTCTGCATGGCACTGGGGAGGCTGCATCCCATGCAGAACCCAAATTTGGGATCCCAGGGACTACTGGGACACCCCCACATCAGATAATCCTCTCTGCATGGCACTGGGGAGGCTGCATCCCATGCAGAACCCAGATTTGGGTTTCCAGGGACTAAAGGGACACCCCCACACTGGAGGAGCCCAGAGGAGGTGGGTGGAGGCCGAGGCCAAGGTGCAAGGAGAGGCTGGGCTGGTCCAACAGAGCCAATGGCTGATTCCCCTGCCCAAAGGGGTGCCAGAGGCACCGGGGCTGGAGAGGCACAGAGAGAGCCCCAGAGGCACAGAAAGCCTGGCTGTGCTCAAGGAAACAGCCTGAAAAGTGTGAGCAGGGCAGCCCTGGGCAGGCTGGGATCCCCCAGCTGTCCACAGGCTGGACAGGCTCAGATGTTTGCCTGGCAGATCCAGAAAACCTCCAGAAAACATCAAGCCCTCTGCTTTTCCTCTCAGTCAGGGCAGTACAAATTGTGTTGGCACAAATCCCTCTCAGCACATCCCACTTGTGAGCTCCTCACCAGCATGGGCATGGCCAACAGCCAGGACAACCACAGCTGGAGCCAGGACAGTTTTTCCCCCACAAAGCAGAAGCTGTGTCACCGTCATATTTTCTGGAAAAATCCCTTTGCCAGGATTTCTCTCCTGGGAAGCTGAGAAGCCTCAGAGAAAAAGGAAAACAATAATTATCTCATTTGCTTCTCCTGTGTTTTGCTGCTTTGGAATGCGTTTGGAGATTGTTTATCCGACAGGTCATTGTTCCACTGGTTTCTGCTGTGAATTATTTTGACTCCCTGGCCAATTACAGCCAAGCTGTG